TTTTCGACTTTCGTCCAAGGACACGCTGAAACACAAATTTCTTAGAGAGCAGACAACTGGAAGCCTTAAAGTTGCCTAGTAAAAGCGTTGTGCCACAATCCACAGAACGGGTCGGGAAGTAGACATGTACCGAGCAATTAGACATAAAAGTTTGTTACCTTTTTCTTGATACGTTGGACCTTGTGAGTTTTTATTTTATTTCTTTTTTTTTATACATAATTGTGTGTTATCACCCTCGTTAGACTCAACTTGCATTACGGCCCCAAGCCCTGTTTGATCTCGTCTGTCTAAGATCAAGTCACAAAGTGGGTAGGCAGACTGGAGATCAGTGCAGTTACCTTGGTAACCAGGCGTTGGAAGCGGGTTGGGAACGACGAGGCTGGTATCAATCTAACCAAAGGGTTAGAACGTCACGTTTGGAGCAGCGAGGAGCGAACAGCTGACGCCGCGACAAATGACGTCACAACTGGTGCTGTCCGTGACCAGGATATCAGAGCCTGGGGAGCACGTGACGTCACAATTGGCGCCGCGACCGGGATCGAACGACACAGTCGACGCTGCGACCGGGGGACGACGTCACAGTTTCTAGTCTTATATTAAAAGAAGAGAACCCATCACTGTCAATATTCCTGGCCCACGGGATTAAACGCCCTTCGCTGTTCAGTTCATGTCGTCAAAATTCTGACCAGTAACGGGTGCTTTTCTGTTTTGGGTCAATCTGATAGTTGTTTTTTTTTTATCATATATCTCCTAACAACGTGTTCATCCAATGATTGATCATTTCTTTTGTACAATGTAGCTTGTTGTTAGAAATAGATTAATATACAATGAATCCTTCCGACTAGCATCTTTGCCGCCGTTGTTCATATGCCAACGTTTCAATCGCTATACGCTCTGTGATTCCTTATTTTATTCGTAATTCTTAAGGATAGAAGAACTCTTAAAAAGCTTCATTAGTTCCTAATTGCGTTTAATATTTCAATCACATCCAACTTCTTTTATGTCGCTTATCATACTTTTCTCATCTTCTGTTTGAAATTCGAAGTGTGTCTCAATTGTTAATCAATCATCAGAATCAGGTGCAAACAAATGTGGTCTCCATCGGATAATCAGCTTAACGAGCCATATAACAAACTTATCATCCGAATTCCGATTAACAGAGCGTGCAGCAGGATCAAACCGGGAATAGCATAAGAACATTGCGTTTCTATTAAATAGACTGGAACAAGGAATATAATATTTATGCACAGAATGATATCAAAAGGAACAATACGAATGCAAAGTCATGCATACCTATCTTTTATAGATTATGCAAAAAAGATTGATAGAATACTTCGATCTGTTGGAACTGCTAGATAATGGTGACATATTTAAGAAGGATATTAAAATGCTCCAGAACCTATACCAGTAGAAATCCGCGTGTATACGGATAGAAAATGAATGCAGTAAATATACAAAAATAGAAAAGCGTGTAAGACAAGGATTTGTCTTCTCGCCGGAATTGTTGAACCTATTAGTGAAGTGACTCTGAGACAATTACAAGTTCTTCCTGGATTCATTATTAGCGGTTAGAAACTTAATAATATAAGATATAGAGATAGGACAGTGTTGATAGCAGAAGCGAAATGAAATACAAGAACTCCAACAAAAGTAAGTGAACGAAATGCAAAGGACTAAAAATCAAATGCAAGAAGACGGAACGTATGGTTGTTAACAAAAGGAACAGATCCTGAGTGTGACGGTAAGATGAATCCAGAAGCAAAACCTCTGATTGGGAGGTTTTGAGAGGCGTCGGACCACCTTTTTTCTAATTGTTGGTGTTTCCAGGTCCACGATGACCGGGTTTGTAACACATTTTAGCGACCCAGTTTGGGAAAAATCGTTAACCACCAAACTGGTGTCAAAACATATTTTTTTATAGTAAAAATAACATCGATACATTTTTTCAAAACCATATTACCACCAATCCAGACAAAAATCTAGACAAAAATCCTCTTTACAATAATACGTCGATGAAAACTGATCTATACAGATTGATTTCTTAAAACTACATACTCTATTCATACAAATGTTTCCTAAAATCTTGTCGGCATTAAAAAAAATTTGCGGAAGTGGCTTGTTTGTTCATTTATTTATTTTTCATTTTCATTTTGTATTATTTATTCATTTCGCCTTTTTTTTTTCACGAAAAATATCCGCCAGAATAGATTACCCTCAATGCACAACTGACCCATATACATAAATAGCCGAGGAAATATCCAGCATTTGCGGCCTGACGATTGCGTCTAGTATAAAACAGCCTGTCGCCTCTGAGTGTTGATTTCAATGTTCACATTTATATTTATATTTACATACGCTCTATCTCTTATATTGAGCACTTTATCCCGTAAATATAGCACACCTAAAACTCAATATATATATATATATATATATATATATATATATATATAGAGAGAGAGAGAGAGAGAGAGAGTATCCCCTCACCGATGGCACGACTCGAAGTTTCATGCGTAACGCACTCTTCAAGTCAATGTTAGTGCAGTCTATACACAACACCTGAAGTTTGCGGTGTGCATAAAACTCCGAGTCGTGCTATGAAAAATAATATGTACATTCATTAAATATATACTTAATAGCTCTGTTGTATTACATCGGCCACTGATTTATTAACACAAAAGTTTATGTATATATATATATATATATATATATATATATATAATTATTTAATTAAAATATGATTCCAACAAGCCACATAAGAGTTCTCATGTTTCAAAACAAGAGCCGAAAACTTGAATATAATTTTTTGAATTAAATTGAATTAATTTCAATTTTTTGGAATAACTTATATCTGAAATTTACGTGTTTTATAAGCATATTCATTATTAAAATCAAAATTTCTATGGTAACAGCTAGAGCAATTGTTTAAAGAAAAAGGGGCGTAAGGTGTTTTTAATTTGTATCAATATCTCCGTTACATTCACAGATGTCAAGTCAGGGTAAGGTTGGCGGGGTGTCTAAAATTAAAAGCGGGAGAGAACATCGCCTAGTCTGGTTAAGCGTCTATGGGGATTTATTTTTTTATTTTATTTTTTATTTTTTTGTGAAGGGTTTTGTGTTTATAAAAACTGTCGTAAACTTGCTTTTTGACGACTTCATAAAGGGTTATCTTTTTTGGTAGGGCATTTAAACTATTTATTAGGACTATGTATTTTAAAAATTATTTTATTGTTTGTTTGTTTTTATGCTAATTATTCAATGCAACAATTTGATGATGTCGGCAAAAAGCGTTAACTCCTGTCTATTGTTTAATAGATTTTTATTATTTAGAAACTTAATAATGTGTAGTTTTTCATGTAGGCATAAAGGACATGGGTCATCCCAAGCTTTACAAGTTCTAGTTTTGTTTATAATTTTCCATTTTACTTTTAGTGTTTTATTCATTTCCTTCAAATGCCAAAAATATTTAGATAGAGATGTCTGATTTCTTTTATTTATATTGTTGAAAGAGCACTTATGCTGCCTCCATCTGGTTTTAAATTCATTCTTCGTAGACCCAATGTATATCATATTAGTATTGGGACTCTCAATGGATGAGATGGTACATTGGTATACCACAGATTTAACGCAGCATTTATTTTCCAATGGGCAGTCTTCTGGGTTTCTACAATCACATAAATTTTCACTATTTTTTCAATATATATACTAGAATAAATCTTAAGGAGCCAGGCAAACATACCTAGGTTTCACGTAAACGGATCGGGTAAACTGGCCATTTTATCCTGAAGATCCGTTTAGGTGAAACCTAGGTAGGCTTGCCTGGATCCTTAATTATTGTAGTTTATCGTTCTACTTACCGTAGTTAGCACTCTACGTTTTAGGCTTTTTTTTTCTTCTTTGAACTAAGAACTTAAAACACTTGGCGATTTGTTTCGTCTTGTTTTGATGTTTTTAGTTCTTTCTTTTTTTATTTCCAATTTTTTCCTCGGGTACAGATTTGTCCTGAATTATCTGCAAGTTGAGCTATCCGAGATTTTCCAAACGAGTAGTAACACACACATATATATATATATATATATATATATATATATATATATATATATATATATATATATATATATATATATTGGTCTTATATATAATATCGAGCCTCCTACATGGCAGTGGAGACTGGACAGCCTGCGCACAGAGACTTGAAGCAACAAAAATATGGTTCTACAGAAGGATGCTGAGAATAACATGGACCGACCATGTGAGCAATGATGAACCTTTAGAGAAAATGTAAACAAAAAACACTTTGTCTTAACATCAGGAAGTCATATTTGAAATTTCTAGGGCAAATAATAAGGAATGATGGGTTGCTAGATTTGATCCTCACAGGGCACCTTGAATGCAAGGGGGACAGAGGAAAACAACGCATAATCTACCTAGCGAGTTTCAGTAAATGGCTGGACTGGCACGTGTTAAGAGAGAAACAAAAAACAAAATATATTAGGAGTTAGAAAAGACAGAAAATGGTTGAAAACCAGGATCGCATACTTCCTGAAAGAGAATGGCACGTAGGAGGATGTAGTTATAATCCTAAAGAAATAGCTGCATATGGAAGGACATTGAAAGTTGTACTGTAAAGTGGACAAGAGGGCTGGTAAACCTAGAAGCCAACTATTATAGAAAGAAAAACTTTCTGTTCTTTAACCTTTAAAATTTGTATTGGTTTTTGTCATTATTTTCACACGGCTTTATTCTGTATATTCCGAAATGCAAGCGAGGTAAATGCAAATATTTCATTGGAGCTAAACCTAGTTTTTCGACATAAAAATTAAAAAGGAAAAAAGTTTGAAATGAAGGTAATGGCAAAAAAAAAAGTAAGGAAAAATAGAGAGAAGCGAAGGGTAGCAAGGGAGAAACGAAGGAAAGAAAAATAAAAGAGAAAGAAATAAAAGAAAAGAAAAAGAGAGAAAAGCATAAAGTAAACAAGAGAGAAAGAAGGAAAAGAAAAATATTTAAAAATGTAAGAAAGGAAAAGAAAGAAGAAAGGAAGAAGTAAGGGAAATAAAGGAAGGGAAGGAAGGAAAAGAAAAGAAAAGAAAGAAAGAAAGAAAGAAAGAAAGAAAGAAAGAAAAGAGAGAAAGAAAGAAAACAAAAGGAAAGAAATAAAGGAAAGAATGAATGAAAGAAAGAAAACACAAAGCAAGAATGATGAACGGGGGGAAGCTTAAAAAGAAAGAAAGACGGAAAACAAAAAACAGAACAAGAGAAAGAAAGAAAAAAAGAAATTATCCACACACAAAGTCGTTAGTAAAGATGGCGACAAAGAAAGAAAGAAACATTTGAAATTTATAAAAGCGAGGAGAATAATAAAAACCTTTTTTATAATCGATAACTGTGTCGATACACGACCCTTTAAACAATTTACAACTTTGGATTAAAAATTTCGGCAGAGATTTGAACCTGCAGTGAAAAGAAGCGAGAATTTTATTTCATTTTCTTTTAACGAAATTGTGATCAAGAGAAATAAATTAATAGGAAACTACCGACTGCAAAGCGATGGGGTGGAATATCTTGAAGGGAAAAATAAGAATAAAAGACAGAAGAAAAGCTGTAAGCAACAACGGAAACAGTTTAAAAATAAAAGCCAAGAAACCGAAAACATCAAGAAAGAATAACATATATATATATATATATATATATATATATATATATATGTATGTGTGCGTGTGTGTGTGTGTGTGTGATGTGTAAATTGTCGGTATTTCATTTTTATAATTTCACGCATGCGCCTTGTTTGTTTTTGATTTTGTTTACACAGTAGAGTCAGTTGGGCACCGTTTGTGGGAAGAGAAACACGATGGCGCAAATCATCCCGACAGAAATTTGGGAACGGCATCCTGTACTGCTTGGCATTCGCACCGGAAGCTCAAATTCAAATATATTATATTATTTGGATGTCAATCAGTACATGGTATCCTGAAAGATTTGGATGAATCTAATGACGATTACGAAGGTGTTTGGAGTAATCACTAGTAATGACGACATTATATCTCCAATCTTCTTCGCACAGGGCATCAGGATAGACAGAGAAACCTATATCAAATGCCTTGAGGAGGTAGAGCTGCCCTGGATCAAGAGGGCGGATGCTGAAAGACTGCATATTTGGCAACGGGGTGCTGCAACATGCCACGCAAGCAGCAGAATCAATTCATTGCTGTCAAACAATTTCTGAGACGACTTACATCTGGCTATATAACTCTCCAGACTGCAACCTCCTTCTTGGTGATTATTTGTGGTTACCAGTTGAGCAAGTGACAAACAAAACTCTTTGTAACACCAAAGATGAACTGAATGCAAGGATTTGCAGCATTCAGAAATTAATCAAGGAGACCATCCAGAAGGGATGCAGGAGATTCGGAAGTCGTCTAGAGTGTGTTGTTGAGGCCAGTGACGATTTTATTGAATAAAGAATTTATCCATCGCATACTCCCTCGCTCTCTCCTCTCTCTCTCTCTCTCTCACACACACACACACACACACACACATACATATATATATATATATATATATATATATATATATATATATATAAACATAATTAAAACTTGTCTTAGGCAAGGCGTCTCCTCCTCTGACAAGAATTTATCCATCGCATCTTCTCTCTCTCTCTCTCTCTCTCTCGCTATATGTATATATCATGTGAAAACTTTCAATAGCGGCAACGACTAAAATGGATAGCAAATATTATCCGTTACATGGTTATTTCATTTGATTTCCCTTATGACGAGAAGGAATATGTACGTACTTTGCAAAAATATTTCTCGTCAGAGTTTTTCTGAGTATGAAAATAAACTACATCCGCGTCCTGGGTAAGACGATAAACTACATCCGCGTCCTGGGTAAGAGGATAAACTTCATCCGCGTCCTGGGTAAGACGATAAACTACATCTGCGTTCTGGGTATGAAGATAAACTGCATCCGAACCAAGGGCCTCTGAGGTTTCGAGGAGCGTCGAACCACCTCTTTGTTGCTGGTGTTCCCACGCCCGCACTGGCCCGGGGTGTATAGTACCTGTTGACGTCCCAGCTATGGAAAGGTTGTTGACACCCATCACAAGACCTGGGGTCGGAGCATTATGAAAGTAAAAATAGGTTTTAATAACAGCAATACATTTTTAGACAAAAAAATTATTGCCAGCATTAAAAATATTGATAACCACTGAGGTTAATATGGCGTAAAACAAAGGAAACAAAACTATAGCAAACTAAAACAAAATTTAGATTCTAATAGCTTTACCTACTCACTAGTAAGAAAACATGTCTACCCTCATTATAATGTACTGTGATATATCTCTTTATATTATACCTGACGTAGGTGGATACTTCAGCTTGTGTAAATTAAAAAAAAATAAATTAAATCTATTCTACTATTTTCACTGACGAAAGGAATAAAAACAAGAAAGAAAATTTTTTAAAAACTTTCCTTTTTGAGGTAGCTTAATCATCGACAGCTGCTTTTTCCATTCAATTTTTTTCTGCCCTTTTTTATAGATTCTCGAGTTAAACAAACAACCTAAGATACAGCCTAATAATAAGCTCCGTTTTAAAGTTAAGGCAAGAAGAGGAAAAATCCCGATCGTTATTTTTGCGATTATCAGTAAACTATATCTTTGGACAGCTTCTTCATAAAAATAAATCCTCTATCGCTTCGCCAAATCTTAGCCTAACTTGAAAAATTAATTAAAAAGCTGAATAGGCAAAACCTTGTTAGTTAAATTACATAAAACATGATAGAATGAATTCTTGCTGTTCAAGTATACCACCTGTATGCGTGTTTATAATGACGTCGCTTGCATCTGATACATGTAAATTCAAATTACAAAAATAACGTTCAAAAAAAAAAAAAAAAAAAAAAAGAAAAAAAAAACATATCAAGGCTTATAGCCACGACACGTTGAAAAACCGGGTTGGGAAACTTAATCCTCAGAGGACCTAAGAAGATCATTTTCAAGTCGAGATTGCTAAACATTACACTAATTCATACAGCCTCATTCTCTGTATATCAAGGTATTTTCACATTTCTTCGTATTGCATTGGCGAGATTAACTTCCACTCGAACAGCTTCTTCCGGCTAACCACATCTCTGAGGAACAAACTTCAAAGCTACTACAATTTTAACCTGTTCAAATTTAGGGTTAAACGTTATTTTCTCCCCTTCTATCCACAGCTATCTAAGTCTATTCATTTTAACTTATCTATCTCTATTCATATCTATCTTACTCTATTCATATCTAATTAGTCTATTCATATCTCTCTAGCTAGCTAGATATCTTTACTCATATCTGTCTTAGTATATTCATATCTATCTATCTATATATCATAGTCTGTTCATATCTATCTATCTCTATTTCTGGGATTTTTTTAATTTCTCCGATTTCATTGAAATAATATAGTTATATATATATATATATATATATATATATATATATATATATATATATATATATATATATATGAAGAAATATAGTTTTAAGGTGTGCTATCTTTTGGGGATAAAGTGCTCAATATCAGAGATAGAGCGTATGTAAATATAAATATAAGGTGACAGGCTGTTTCATGCTAGATGCAATCAGGCCACCATATATATATATATATATATATATATATATATATATATATATATATATATATATATAGGCTGGCATTCGGCTCTCACCCTTTCACTGTCGAAACTATTAAATGTAGCCTTCTCTTCTACACCAATAGCTTCATATCTCGCATCTCTCGCCTGTAGAACTCCGTTCTCTATTCCAGTTTCCCTGAGAGCTATAATCTCCAACTATTCAAATGTAATGTCAATCGACATCTCCAGCTGCCTTGATCTATCCTCTATCCTTCTACACATCCTTTCCTTTATCACTCCTATCTGATCTTGCTCCTAATCTTCTGTAACCCATTGCGTCCTAGTGGCTTCCCGCCTTGGTTTGGGTGAAACGGTTAAATATATATATATATATATATATATATATATATATATATATGAAATGGATTAAGTTCGACAATTATTTAATATATTTTCTGTTTATACATTATTTCGCAATATATTTAAGTAAATGCTTTAAAAAAAAACAAAAAAATCTATTAATTACATCTGTAGATCTGAATGTTCGAGAAATTTCCTAGAAAATATGCGTTCTCCGAAAGGAATCTAACCTGTGTCATATCTGCTCACAAAAAGTACCTTAACGTAAACATTGACAACATATACATTAAGTCCGACAAAGTACATTTTGTGAGCACATATGATAATTTAGAAATGATCGTCGAAGTGTTGTTGTTTATAAACAGTTAGTTGGTCATTGCTAACCAGATGCTTCTCTGTAGCTGAGTGGTACAGTACGTCGGATCAACTGACGGTTACTTATAGGAAAAACGTCCGATTTCTGTTGGAGAACGCATATTTTCTACGAAATATCTCGAACATTCATAGCGCTAAATGTAATTAATACTGTTTGTTTTAAAAAATAGTGTTTAAATAAATTGCATCTATTATAATAATGTACAAACAGAATATATGATATATATATATATATATATATATATATATATATATATATATATATATTGTTTTATATTCATTTTCTTAAATTTGGAATTTTTTCTTTTGTTATGTATATCAATTTCTTTTGTTATGTATATCAATAATTTAATAGTATTTTGTTATGTATATCAATAATTTAATAGTATAATGATGAATAGTATCTATATCACGCAACAAATATTTTATGCTTGATTTTCTTTGTATATCTACCTAACCAAAAGCGTACCCATTATTCACAGATCGAAAATTTTACAATATTTTGTTTAGATCAAAATTCCTTTAATAATCGTCTGGTTGTGAAATTATTATTCCAATTTCCTATGCAGTAACTGCATCTGGGCATCTCGAGGCGGTGTAGTGGTTAGCAAGCGTGTCTCGTTAGAACAATTACGCTTGGGTGAGGAGTTCGATCCCCACTGGGTACCGCATATTTCGGCCTTGTACCACATCTGAGCTGCGTTTGGAAAATTATTATACTAATTGATTTATTTTTTTCTTTTTCTTTTCTTTTTACCTTGGCTTCCCGCTTAAATTACTTTTCTGCTTTTTTACTTTACAAGGTCCCCCCTCCCTTTGCATGATCTTATTTATTGATTCATTTCTATTATTGTTTGCTTCCTTTTTGTTTTGTTTTTCTGTCTTAGCCACACTTTCTCTATTCGCCATTTCCTCTAGTTCTTTTTCTTTTTGTCTAAAAATGTTTGTATCATTCTTCTAAATAAAAAAACAAGTTTTTTTTTTATTTAGCTTTCTTTCGTCGCTTTTGCGTCTTTTTCTATTTCTTTCTCTCTATCATTGTCATTTTCTTTTGTTTAGTTTCCTCACGTTCTTTCTTTCGATAATTCATTTTTTTTATCCTCCTTTCTTCCTTTCGTTTTGTCCTTCTCTCTCTCTACTCCTTGTTCTCTGTCTCTTATACTTTCCTCGCTCGCTCCAAAATGATTAGCTTCCTCAGGAAAAAAAAATACAAGAAAATCAGCATTCTAGATAGAACACCTTTCGAGTTTT